AGTAATCAATTCCATTGTGACAATGGAAAATGCATAAATAGAATATTGAAATGTGATGGTGTAGTTGACTGTGGTGATGGAACAGATGAAACCAAGTGCCGTGAGTATTGGGAATGAATGTCAATGCTCGTTGTTCAAATTGATCATGAATACTCCCTCAGATTGACAAACTCTGATCAGAGAGAATTCACAAAATTGTGGTTAAAATGGTATTAAATAAACATATTATTTTACTTGCCTTTTTTGATGATGTAGAAAAAACGCCTAGACCGGTTCTATTATACACCAATCGCAGAACTATTTACCGACAATTCCTGGACTCCAGCATGTTCAGTGAAGTTGTCACAGGCCAACAAGGAATAGTTGCCTTGGACTATGACCACAAGACAAGCACGGTATACTGGACAGATATCTCCACAGAAACGATCAACAGTGCTTCTTTAACTAATAAAAACCAACAGTACAAGGTGATAATCAACGAATCACTGGTTAATCCTGAAGGGCTGAGTGTTGATTGGATAAATAGAAAGCTCTACTGGACTAATTCAGGCTCTAATGTTATCGAGGTGGCTGATTTGGATGGTAGAAACAGGTTGACTCTCATACAAGCCGGACTGGAGGATAAGTTAAGAGGTATTGCAGTGTATCCTGACACTGGGTAAGCTGGTTCCAAACAAGAATAGAACCATATCAAAAAACTGCTATACTTCTATAAATCTTTGCGGTTTTCGGGTTTCTTTCGTTTTTGCTAGAGTGAATTTGAACAAGACCGGCTTAGTGATTTGCTTGTTCTATGCGATAACTGGAAAATTTAGAAATCGCCCAAAAAGAGTCCAATCGTAGATATTGTTCATGAAGTATAAGTATAATTGAAACGTTAGAGATCAAAATGTTCCTCAAATGTTTTACATTGCTCTCTAGTAATTGACAGTTACATGTTTTGTGTCTTTCAGTTATATGTTTTGGACCAACTGGGGCCAGTCACCAACTATAGAAAAATGTGGCATGGACGGGGATCCCAGTACCAGAACGCCTATCGTTACTAATCACCTCCGATTTCCAAACGGTCTTACCATTGACTACACTAAAAGAAGGATCATATGGGTCGATGCTGGGTTAGATAGGATAGAGTCTGCTGATTTGAATGGAAATCAGAGAAGGGTCATCACCAGGTACCATAGCAGGCATCCTTTTGCTGTTTCTGCCTTCAAAGATCGAGTTTATTGGAGTGATTGGCAGAGAAATGGGATTTATATGGTCCGCAGGATAACAAGTAGTATAACTGGTCCATTAAGGACCGTAAGGAGGTCAATCGGTTTACCAATGGGAGTACGTGTTTACAGTCCATTATTACAACTAAGAAAAGGTACCACCACTAAGTTAAACCATTTGGATGTTCATTGAATGGATTCCCATTTCTTTCTACAAAGTTTAAAGTCCTTCGTTACTCTTTCTTAGTTGTTTGCTGCACGTTTTACTCGTTTTTTGTTGATGTTGTTTTGTTTTTTATTTTGTTTACTTGCGTGCGTAATATTTTGTTGTCTTTCCTGTTTGTTAGCTTGAAGTTGAAGTTCACATGTCTACTCTAAATAACTTTCCTTTTCCAACTGGTTCTTTTTGTGCCTTTATTCATAACAGCTGCTTTTGTCTTGTTTTACAGGAATGAACCCTTGTGGCAGCAATAATGGTGGATGTAGTCATATTTGTCTTCTTGCACCAAGACCCAAGACTCATACTTGCCACTGTCCTGCAGCAGCAACTCTGACACTAGATGGAAAAACTTGCAAGAACATCTGATTGAATCTAAAACGTATATTGTCATCATAACGGCTATTTCAATAAACCTAGTTATCATTAATACTAGAATATTTCCCTTCAAAATCTCAAATAAAACTGATATTAAATATCCCTGTTTTATTGTTCTATCAATAAGACACGTTAAGATGCGGACTATCGCATTTATATAACACATTTACCAGTCAACAGTTTTGATTGGACTACCCGTGTCACTGAAGATTCCACGGACTTTGATCGCCTTAAAAACCAATAAGTCGTCTTAAAAATGCATAATCTCTTTCCCCCTCACCGAAATCTATCCTGCATGGCAGGTTTGGTTAGCGCCATTATGCGAGTCACGCAACGTAACCAAATGAGCAAGGAGTATTTTTGCACAGCGGTGAACACTCGGCAATTATTTACAATCGAGGATGAATGGAAGCCATGAATATTAATTTACGACTCAAAAACGATCTTAACACAATCGTAAGTGGTCCTATATACATGTATTTATAATTGATTAACTTGTGTCAATAACAAAGCTTGTCTACTCGTGCAGATTCTCTATAGAATTGAAAATTGTTTATATATACAAATATCAACAGTTCGGCCAGGTAGATTTCAAGCTATCAAATAATATAAATAACTCTTTTTAAAACTTCAGCTTACCCATTCAACGGATTTGCTACTAGAAATAATATTGTATTGTTAGTGTGAACTGATTTTGACCCTATTAAATACAACGACTGAGATATATATATATAATCGATGAATACAGACGCCTATCAATTGTAGATGCTCTTTGGTATATATTTAATGCATGGCTGCCTCAATCTCTTGATCGTGACGTCTCGCCGAATGGTTATAAGTAAACGAGATCAAGATATCGTTGATATTATCATGATATTATCTTAAAGTGAATAACTTTTGGAAGTAAATTCGATGACACTTTGACCCTTTATTATGAATGTTTATAAACTATTTTATACATGTATTCATTGTCATGCAAATTATTTTATATGAACAATAATTAATTATTGTCCGAAAGCTTAGTGTTTTAGTTTTTTGAATTTAATAAAGTTTTGCTAGAGAAACATAGCACCGACTATCATAATGAAGCTACCTAGCAACATAAATGTCCTAGAATAATTAATTATATAAATTAATGCCTGCTACATAGATACACACTGCAGTCAACCATTGTGATTTAATGCCATTAATTTATTAATTATTAATTAAATAATAATTATTTTTTTAAGTGGTTTGTTCTTTTTATTATTCAATTAGTGATTGAGAACAGGCCAGGGCATGTAGTTTTCCTTTTGGTAAGGAGGGGGGAGGGGGAGGGGGGAAGGGAGGGGGGAAGGGGCTGGATAGGTGTGTTGAAGAAAATATGTTGAAGTCTGAATAGGTTTGCTTGATTTTTTCCTTCTACTGTATAAATACTGCTTGATTTTTGAGGGATTTCCATCTGTTACACAGAGGACAAGACATGAAACTAGAGAGAATCTGCACAAGGCGACTATGGACTGAAGTATTTGCAGAGTTTCTCATCACAACTCTGTTTATCTCATTTGTGTGTGGATGYTCGTTAGCATGGAATCCTCCCTCGTCTGTGATGCACATGGCTATAAGTTCAGGTTTAGGAGTYGCTACRTTTGCCTTTACCATGTGGGATGTGTCATCTGGTCTTTTCAATCCAGCTTTGACTATTGGATTTCTGGTTGGAGGGAAGAAGACTTTTGTGCAGACGTTACTTTATATTGTGGCCCAATTAGCAGGAAGTACTATATATTTATATCTTTGTTTACTTTTGTTTACTTTTATTTTGATTAAAAAGTCTGAAAATGCTATGTTTGTTTCTTCATCCATTCAACAATAAAATAATTATTATTTCCTTTTTTATTTCTTTTTCGTTCATTTTTCATTTCTTTTTATAAATTTCTACTAATACACTATCTAAACTATATCTTTTATACGTTTCCCAGGTGTCTGTGGGGCTGCAATGGTTTATGGGGTAGCACCAAACAAAGCCATTACAGATTCCAATCTGGCAGTCAACCTTCGTAACCCGGATGTTAATATCTGGCAGGCGTTTGGTGTTGAAATTTGGATTACTTTCATTCTGGTGCTGGTGGTTTTTTCTGTGGGAGACCCCGAGAGGAAATTATCAGGATACGGACCACCGCTGGCCATAGGATTCTACGTCTTTGTCGGGATCAATTTTTCGGTAACTGGACAACAATCACTTTCCATATCATATTGTGTCATCGGGTCAGTGCCGTTTTGTTCTCTTGCGTTTGCATCGGTTTCGGTCTTTTGCGTATATTATACGAACTGCGCTTTTCTTCATGTATTCGCGCTGCGTATTTGTAGAGCTTGCGTTTCGCTACGTCTTCGCATAAGTCCGTATTTGCGTCTTCTCTATCTAGTTACGTCTGTCATTCGTCCTCCCTAATCATTTGCGTTTACGCTTCGAACACCTCAATGTTTTTGCGTTTTCTCTTGTGTCATTTCTTTTTCTTACGCTTGTGCTTGCGTCTGTTGTAATCTCAGTTTGCCTGTTCTACAGATACCGTTATCAGGGGGAGGGATGAATCCAGCACGATCATTTGGACCAGCGGTTATCATGAATTCTTGGCAAGATCACTGGGTATGTTCTTGGTATTTGAAATCGTTAGATGTGCTAATTCAATGTGTATTTTTTTTTGGTGTTCTTAGATCTACTGGGCTGGACCAATCATTGGAGCTGTAGCAGCAGCAGTATTGTACAGATATGTTTTCTCCCAAAAGATTTTACAGAAGTACCAGGCTCCCGATGACCGCTATGACGAAGGGTTACCAACTGTGATACAACTGAACACCTACCCAATCTAACGAGCCATCATATATTGTTGGCGTTCTGCGGTTTCCGCAAGACATTTTCTGTAATTCTTTAAAAAATCATTCGGTTTTAATCACAACAGGCTGAACCATCAATCAATAATTTACAATATAAAAACGTGCAACAAGAAAAAAAATTAGTAAAAACAATTAAAAACAATTGCGGATTTCTTAATTAATGACCAAGCAAAATTTTGCAATAAAATTGCCAAGATATTTTAAACAAAGAGCTGAAAATGATGAATGTGTCACGCATCCTTCCTTTAACAGTCGATTAATTACTTATTTACGATATATGCTCGTGGTTCCACTTGATGTTCAACAATTGTGACGTCAATTTTATTAATCAATTTTACAATCAATTTTATTAAATTAATAATTAATGGGATGACAATGTAACAGGTAGAAACAAAAAAAATAAAGATTTACGTTTACTTTTGTATCATTTATTAAGTAGCATATGAATATTGGTAATGTAGTGAAAAATGATAGGCATCGTCAAGTTCCTAAGGTATGCAGAGTTTTGGTGTAGGGCTTTAGAAAACGTTCTTTGACGTAGATGCAAAATAATGTACGCTTTAACAAAATGAGCTGATATTACGTTCGTATTAAATTCCATCACATTTTTCATTTTATAATTAGTTATAAAATGTTCTGTCATGACATGTTAAAAGAACTTAATATGCTTGAATGATGCTGAAACAGCAGCAGTTCTTATAAGGTCATGGTCTATCGGCATTCAATTTTATTCCATGTAACGAAACAAATCGATCATTTGTATTTTACTCTTAAACCAAGATGACTAACAACATAAGTTCTTGTTTCGTTCGGTTTAAAAATGAAGTCAAAAGCGGTAAACTCTGGGTTGAAGTATTTGCAGAGTTTCTCATCACAACT